GGTAACTCCAAAGAAAACAAGAAAGTATGAGGTGCCTAGACTTGACTCATAGTCTAAGACCACCCCTAGGTCCCCAGAACACCTAATATCCCCTTGCTTATGCTGCTAGCCAACCCCATCTTCCTGTGACTCTAAAGTTTTCTCTGAAGCTCAATAAAGAATTCTGGATATTAAGTTTCCTCTCAACCTATGTACTCCTATGGCTCCTCATCTACAGTTTCGCCATACCTGTGGCCAGATACACAGGGTACTGGCTGGCTGGGCTCCACACTTGGACAGCTGGCCGCTCAACTTCTTTCAGCTTCATGGTCTGTCCTGTGGTGGCAAAAAAGTGACCTGGCCCTCAGCCTGCTGAAAGTAGAAACCAGCAAGCTTAAGGGCCAGATCAAGGGAGCATCTGTGGACACCAGATCTTGTTTCTCTCTTTCTACCATAGGATGGGGGCATTTTGGGGCAACACAGGGTGACAAAATACATGACTATCTGCAGGTCTATAATGACAGTTCATTTACCCAACTACTGAAACTAATGCTTTAAACACCAAATGATATCCAAACACACTGGTTGCCACCGGCCCAATGGTGATAATAACCATCAAACCAGATAATCTCTCAGTGACCCTATCCATTCCCTGGGTTTTAAACATCATCCATATGATGATGACTCCCAAATTTGTATCAACAACACAAATCTCTCCTCTGAGCTCTAAGTTCTTATATACAACTACTAATCTAATATTTCCACTGGGATATAGCAAAGATACTTAAAAGTTAGTCTGTCTAAAATGGAATTCTCTATTGTACCAACTCCCTGACCACATACCTCAAATTTGTTCTTCCTCCAGTTTTCTTCATTTCAGCAGATGGTACCACTATCTACTCAATTGCTCAACTCCAAAATCTGAAAATCACCCTAGATTCCTATTCTCCTTTATTCCCTTTAATCTATCAAGTCTTCCAATTTTTACCTCCAAAATATATCTTAATCTATTTTTCTCCATCTCCAGCACCACCACTCTAGTTGAACATACCATCATCTCTCACCTAAATTACTGCACTAATTGTCCAACTAGTCATCTCCCTGCTACTCATCCCAACACCCAATTCATTCTCTACATAGAAACAGGAGTAAACTTTTAAAATCAAAAATAGGATTTTGGCATTCTATGCTTAAATTTTTCAATGGCTTCCATCACACTCAAAATAAAATTCAAACCCCTTTGAGCCCTGCTCAAAGGCTCCAGCCTACCACTTCAACTTCATCTCTTGCTACTTTCCCCCTTATTCCTTGTGTTCCAGCTTTTCATTTCCTGGCTGTTTTCCACTTTAGAGCTTTGTAAATCCTTTTTCCTATAAGTTGAAGGCTTTTTGTTACATTCTCTGCATGACTGGCTCTTTATCACATCTTTCTGGGCTCAGCTTCTCACCTCCTCAATGAGGAGAACAACTCAATCCAAAACAGCCTCCATTTTTTTTCTTCTTAGCAATTTATAATTATATATTTAGTACATTTACATTGTTGGTGTTGTCCACCAATAAGTGAACTCCATGAGAGCTAGCACTGTGTCTGCTTTGTTTACCAGGTTATAACTAGTGCCAGAATAATGTCTGGCACGTGGTAAGTGCTCCATAATATTTGATGAATGAATGCAGACATCTACTTTACCCCTGTGGTTTTCAGTCCAATTCTAACACACACTTAAGGTGCTGTTCCAAAAGGCTTGCAAAGCAGCAGGAAAGTTAAAAAAAAAAAAAAAAGTAACGCTGAACTTGAGTTAACTTGGAACCTACTGTGACCTGCTTGAGCAAGCCACAGGCAGACTAGTCTCAACTGCAAAAATAAGAGTAATATTACTTAACCTCAAATGTTCTTTCCCAGCTTGAAAAAAGTTTAAGGTTGCCAATTCAGCCAAGATTTCCTCTATAAACAGGTGAGGCTACATCAGGAATATTCCAAGCTTGCACATCATACCATACAGTCACCAGAGACACCTGCTGGTCAAAACCATTTTCACATTTCTAGAGAAAGATGTAAAGTAGGAGCTTCGATTATCACTGTGTACTTGAGTGCATATGTCATTTAATTCTCACAATGGTTCTGTGCAGTCAATACTATTACTATCTCCATTTTACAGAGAAGAAGACTGGCTAGGCCAAGATGTGAAGCCTAACCAGCCTCCAGAGCCCAGTGTTTTTTACCATTATGCCAGTCTAAACTCAACTCCATAAAGTGTTTAAGCCCCAGACAGCCTGAAAAAATGGGAAGATGGGTTTTTTAATCTACTTTATTCAGAAACGTATGTTCTGGGGTTAGAAAGGCTGGGGCCGGGACGTTGAAAGCGGAGAAGGTATGACCGTTCACCCAAGAGCTGAACACACTCGTGCAAGGAAGGAGGACGCCAGCTACCCTTGGCGGCCAGCCTTCCCCGAAACGCAGCGCGCCGGGTCAGCAAAGACAGGCCTTCCAGCCCGGGGAAGGACGCAGAGACTCGTTGTCAAATCCCAGGCCAGGTCAGGGTTCAGGGCGGATTGGGAGGCGCTAAGGCCGCGCTGGAGAGAGACTCCCGTCGGGCTAGGGCACTCGGGCGCGACAGGAGAGAGAGCCGGCATCGCGGGGGCCCCAGAGAGGCACACCGGCCGGACCCCCGGAGGCCGGGGTCTCAGAGAAGGGAGAGCGGCCCCCGGCGCTCCGCCGAGGGAGGAGCAGCGCTAGGGGTCCCCCGCACAGACCCTGCTCTCAGGGGCCCCAGACTGGCCGGGAAAACCAACCTGCGAGGAGAGCCAGGTCAGGGGTCAGGAGCGCCGGGGCCGGAGCCGGGGCCAGGGCCAGGGCCAGTTCTCTCTCTCGGTTTGGGGGCTCAGCTGGACGCTGTGGACGGCGGCTGCCGAGGGCCAAAAGTAGTCCCGGCCGGCGGGCACCGTCGCCCACAAGCGGCGCCAGGAGCCGGGCCCACACCCTCGTTGACCCACGGAGAACGTTCCCTTTAATATAGCTTCTAATCCCGCCTTCCTTAACCTGTTCCATGACTGCGCAGTGAATTAGATCCTGCGACCAGTAAGTTCTGGTCTATTCGATTTGAGCCAGGCTCCTGGGGCAGCCTCAGAAAGGGGAAAATAATTTTTCAATATTTACTTATTGAAGAGAAGACCCGGCCCTTGCTCCAGGAGCTGTTAGTGGAACCCACTTAGTCGAAAAGGTAAAAAGCAATCTAGCCCATAAACAGCAGTGAGTGATGCTCTGCAGCCCAGCAACAACTGCACCCCGCAAACCATTGGTTGAACTAATTAAGGGTTAAAGATGTGTGGAGGAGGAGATACTGTAGACTGGGGGCTTCCTGAAAGATTCCAGGAATGAGAGGGTCGTTACACGTTGGAGCTGCAAGAAGATAAGTGAAGTCCTAGCAAGGAGAAAAAGGCCCAGCCAGCTAATAGGCGCCCTGGCGTTTCCCATACTTGAATGAAAGAGGCTACAGCTGGAGGAGAGGGCTGGATACAGATTATGGACTACTAACTCAACTCTGCAGGTAATTGGGAATTGCTGAAAATTATGGGTAGAGATAAGATAAAGATTATATTAGACTAGCAATATGGATCCCCTTGAAGAGATGAAATCCTTTTGAGCTGGTTATCTTATGATGGGTCCCAAGTCATTGTAACACAACTCTAGATTTCCTTTTCAAGTGGACTTGGTAGTTTTGCAGTCAGGACAGAAAACCATTTAGGGCATTGGCAGTGCCTACCCACTCTATCTACTAATTATTTCTTTAATTCTTTAGTACAACAGTAGATGAGAAACAGGGTTGAAAACTGAACCTTGGGCAACACCTCCAAGTAGGGAATGAAGCAGAGGTGTCACTGATGAAGTGCTCTAAAAGAAATCTGAGCCAAAGGCATAAGGTCACAGTTTCAAGTAGGACATGGTTAAAAAAAAAAAAAGTAAAAAAAGGGGAAAAAAAGTACTCTTCCCTCAACTCAAACATCTTAGAAATTCTTTTCACCTTGTTTTATAACTGCCAGTCTCCTCTTCTGGGTATCTACTTGAAGACAATTATTTTGTCTTGTTAAACTTTATATCCCTAGGGCTTATCAGTATCTGATATGTATTAGGCAGACAGATGTTTCTTAAATGACATCAAATGCTCTAAAGGACAGAGGATGAAAACATACAGAAAACAGTGGAGACCTTCAAAGACATTTCAACAGAAATACCCAGTCCCTGACCTCATAAAGGTCTTCCACTGCCCAACCACTGAAGGATCCCTTATATAATTTGAATAGACTTGCTTCTACAGGTCATGTTGAATGTGTGCTTTTTTACGGGACAGGTTTTCAGGCAATAGGATTTAATTTAAGAAAATGTCCCCAAAGGGAAGAAAACATAAGTTGCTTCTCTTTAAAACATATGTATTAAAGAGACAGACCCTCAATATCATGGTTTTCCTCCTTCTAAGGCTATTGTAGGAGCTTGGATAAATCATTAAGGTAATGAAAGGCATGCATAGGTTCAGTAATAACTCAATGACTGTCCTCTAATTCATAAATATAGGTAATGTCAACTTATAAGAGTCTTGGATTCAGAAGGTGCTTTGGAATAAATATTCTTATAAGATATGTAAGATTAGAGCCAGTCACAGCTCTAGGCCAGTCCCAAAACATCTATTCATCTTTCAATATACTTGAAATATGTTAGAGTACATTTTTTTTAACCACAATTATTAAAAATGTTTATGGGAAATAAACCTTGTTCCAACTTGAGAAATCAGGAACATTATCTTCCTTCTTCCTCAACCCTGTAAATGGGGAAAGGAGCTACCCTGACCACCTGCTGCACAACTGGAACCCTCAACTACCTTTCCCAGTGAAATTAACAAATTAACATCTTGTGCTTAAATTCCCCCACCCTCCAATCCTTCTAAGCTTGGGAGACAGTGGGCAGAGAAAAAGGAAAATAATGAGGTTCCTCGCAGCAGTGGCTATTCCGGCCAGAAAATGAGGCACAGAGACAACAGAACTGAGTTTTATTAGGGGTTTCATTAAGGTTAAATCTCTAGGATTGAGAGAGTCATTTAAGGGGCACAAAGCCCATGAAGCCTCCTCAGATCTCATAGTGAACCACTGGCTCAGGTTCTTTGCTGGGATCGCCGCCTTGTTCCAGGTAGAGATTATTATAAGGATACTGCTTTGGCCCCTAAGGAAAAAACACAGGTCAGCCAAGAACATACATCCAGCCAATACCTGGCTATACCCCACTCTGAGTGAAGAATCACACACAGTAAACGGGTACACGGTAGTCTCTGCTCGGACCAAGCTGGGCTAGAAGAGCAGGGACATCACTCCTCTTCCCTGCTCAACCTAAGGAAGGAGAAAGCCTAGATTATAAGTGGTGCCCACACTGTGTGTGGTGGGGGGGGGGGGAGGGAGAGGGAGGGAGACAGAGAGGAGGGAGGGAGAGAGAGAGAGAGGGAGGAGAGCAGAGAGGAGAGGGAGAGTGTGAGGGAGAGCTTTCTAAATGAGACGATGCATCCATCCATCCCACTCTCTCTCGGGGTCGAGACAGACTCAATCTCCTTTAAGTCACTCAGCCTCTAATGGTTCCACCACTAAAGTGGCCTAGGAAATGAGGCGTGCAGAGCAGCAGTGGGGGAAAGCACAGAGGAGACACGGCTGGGACGTGCTTTAGGGGCTGCTGGCTTAACCAACAAACAGCTGTCAGAGAACACAGCTCAAGGGGAGGAGAAAAGGGTGATGTGCTTACAGAACTGAAAAATGGAAGAGCCACACTGTGTTTCTTGCTCTCCTGAAGTGAAGTTAGTGCTCACACCAGCCCTATGTGCACTCTCCAGGCTGGGGCCCCTGGGGCTCGGTGAGAAGGCTTGTGTCAGTGCACACAGACAGACCCGCTACCATTAGGACATTGATTATCTCTGCAGAGGTAGCACTGTGCAGCCAACTGCAAACACGCCAGCCTCCTCCTTTCAGTTCCTTGTCTTACAATCTATCCCACAGACTACTCCCAGATTAATCTTCCTAAAAACCTAGCCTTCATTATGTCATTCTTCCCGTCAAACCCAATGTGGCTCCCTGCTGCCTAGAGGCAGACCTAGTCATCACTGTATCCCCAACCCCTTGCACCTTCTGTACTTGGTACATGATAGGGGCTTCATAAATATTTACTGAATTAATGTGTTACTATACCATCAAGTCCAGATCTCTTAGTCATGCAATAAAAGATGCCCAACCTCACTCACCTATCAACTCACTTCACAATATCTTTTAACACAGCAATTTCCACACCTGATTTCACAGGACATCAGAATTACCTGGGAACTTGTTAAATATCATTTCTAGAACCCCACTGTGGAGCTACTGAATTAGGCTCTCCAGATAATGGAGCCCAGGAATCTGAATTTTTAGCAGCTCTCCAGGTAACTAATGCATCTGGTTGTCTAGGAACTATTTTTAAGCCTATTCCACTCCAGCTACCTCACTCTCCTTTTCTTCATTCTGTTTTCTCTTGCCCTAAATGTTCTCTTCAATTTCTCCCCACCATCTAAAATGTATCTATATATTTTAGCATCTAATATAATCCTTCTCCTTAACAATAACTGATACTCCCAGCACATACATTCACTACACACATAGAAAGACAAAAACTGTTCCAAATTCCTATATGTATGTTCAAATGTTGCTCATGTCATTTATCTCAATTTTCTTCTTATCCAAATTAAACTTCCTTAAAGATAGTATATTTTCCATGTCCTTTACAGTCTCTAAAACATCAATGGGTCTATGCTTGCAGTAAACACTTAATTGCTTCCAGTGTTCTATCGGAAGTGCCCTCCACACCAACACGAGGTAAGGGTTCAACTCTAGATTCCTTGACTCTACCTTGAAAGATCACTTGCTGAAATGTAATTGGTAAGCACAGTCTCTAAAGGGCAACTTTAAAGATGAGCTAGCTTTCCCATCCTCATTCCTCACCTAGTCCTAAACTGTTTCTTATCACTCAGACTGATCTGAGATGAAGGCAGGAGCAGTGCTCTGGTACTTGTACCAGGCCAATGGGTAAGGCCCCCTATAGGCCTTACCAGGAAGCCAAGCTTGGTATTGGCTGGATCCCTACTCCAGAGATTTTATTCCCGCAGGAAACAGGGCTAAGTAAATGTGGCTAAGGAAGCACCTCTCAGATACTCACCACAGGCTGGTAGGTGGGGTAAGTCTCCCCCATCCAAAACATGAACATCATGAAGGCCACAAAGCCAAAGAGCTGCTTACACATGAGATTCCAAGAAAGAGGAGTGGGGGACGTGTCCACACGGTTCCTGATATACATGTCTAGGTCCCAGTGTATCTGAGGCAGAAAGGCAGAAAACTGTCACATACTGCTCTTCCTGCAAAAGGCAGGCAGTCCAGAGTGATTAAGAGTCTTATATAAGGCTTGAAAGGCATTCTACTCCTCTGGGCAATATTCTGCGAGCCACACCTGAGATACTCTGGCCCACAGGACTAGATGCTAGTTTACGGCTAGGTTCGGCTGACCAGAGATAGCCCAATCGTGGAATTTCACAACACTCACAATATAGAGTTCTCATTATTCCCAGAAGTCCCATTCCACGTGCCACACATGGACTCTGAGATCACTGGAGCTTGCTTCCTTAGGAAGAAAAACCTTAGTGTCCCTTGGGCAGAGAAATGCCATTTGAACTCCAGGAAGAATCCCCAGGAAGACATTAGGGAAAAGGAACGAAAGTCAAATGGCATATGGCTCTCTCACCGGTTCACCCCAGTTCAACCGCAGATCTGGATGGTCCCAGTCATACCACGGATCCCTCTCCTGCTGTGAGCGGTCGGGGAGCTTCGGGTAGTCACCATACCTGAGAGATAGCAAGAACTTCTGGACAGGGCTCTGAGCAGCCTCAGTCAGAAAATTCAGTCTCCCCATCTCAGAGATGAGAAACCAAGTGACAGAGACAACTGCTTCACCTAAGGACAGAGGAACTGACCTTTAAATCAAGACCTCAACTTGTTCTCACTAAACACAAAACTAACCGCGCAGTCCAAATTCTTACTAAAAATTCATGTCAAACTCTGAAACATTTTAACGTATGTAAGCCTGTTATGATGTTATAGAGCTGGAAGGGAATTTATCAATCACTCTGTTTCCCTCATTAGAGACAGAAAATGAAACTGAAGTTTAGAGTCTGAACCTAAGGTTACTCAGCTAATTGGAATAAAAGCAAAAAGTGTACAGATTAGAAAAGCACTCTTTTCATAGCAACTGTGTTCCTCAACCAAGTTGGCATACATCTCCAGGTCTCAAACACCTCATGGGACTTTTTGCTAAGCTGGATTTTTCTTCAACAAATCCAGTTTCAATTTATACCGACTGCTACCGAGGCTGCTCATGTCCACAACACAATAAAAGACATAGGAAATGATGACAACTAGACATGTGTCACAGAAACTGATTGGAAAACAAGATGAACAGGAGCTGCTGAAACCACGCTTGAAAGAGTGATGCTAACAGAAAATGAGGGTGACGGTAATCACCTCAGATAGTTAACCATAGGGATGTTACGGGTGCGGGGGAATAACATCAACTGGAGTAAAGGAGTTGGCTATTTAATCTGCTTTACAGTTGCTATGATTTCCACAGCCCTGACAGCAAAGATAATTTTTTTTAAAAAGAGAGATGTACACATAAATACAGAGTAGTCCATCTACAAATAAGGTTCTCATGACAGGAGTCCAGCTCAGGCCTGATCACGTGCTTATATGACAGCACCTGAGCCCAGCAGATGCTCAATCTAAATGAAACCTTGCGTTCTGGATAGAGCCTAGGAAGGTTCCTGCTATTCAGAGGTCCTCATGGGAGCTATTAAAACCTCGGCTTCCTCATTTGAGGAAACAGCCTGAGCCAAGGAGAAAATTGAAGTCCTCTCGGCTGCAGCTGCTCACCCATCCCCTCCCACCTCCCTCCACCGAGAAATGCACCCACATCACTGATTCTGAGGGGTCAGGAGAAGGTTCGGGGAAAAGGGTCAGAGTAAAGCCACCCAACCCAGCCGACTTTCTCCCGTCACTTCCAGGTGCGGGCAGACCCTATCTCACCCCATGCCATCATCTGGGTACGGCTCGTAGTCTTCCACCCGCATATTATACTTCTTGGCGGCGGCAGCCCGTTCTTCTGGGGTCCTGGGGTAGGGCCCTGGGAGCATGTCCTTGGTAACGTGGGAAGCTGGAGGACAGACGAAGGCAAGTCAGAAGCGACCTCATTCTTCCTGCGGTTCTGAAGGCTTCACAGGCTGGAGCCCGAGACTTCGAGGGACCAGCAGACCCTCCACCCATTTTTCTGGATATACCAAGTCCACCTCCGCCCCTGCCCGGACCCGGCCGCCGCGGTCTCCACGATACCCACTATCCCCCCCGACACACCAAACTTCAGGCATCCCCTTCCCACACTGAGGCCTCGCCCGTTCTCGCGGACCTGTCCGTGCACCCAACGGCACCACGTTCCGGGATGCCCTTTGCAGCCATTGGACTCCCAAGACCCCGGCCCTGGCCGCCGCCATCTTCACCTTCTTCGCGGTTCACCCCGCGCATGCGCAAATGCCTTGTCACGGTGGTTGAACTGGGCCAAACGCGACGGGGAAAAGTCGTAAGGATTCAGTAACGGCTGGCTTTAAAGGTGCTGGGAAGCCAGCGCGAAGATGAGCAGTTGGATAGAGGCAGAGAGGGAAAGCGGAAAGGAGATAAAAACAAGCAGGTCACTGCTTTGATATTTCGGATTATTATGTCCCTTTCCTCCCTCAGCTGATTTAGACGCATCCAGGGATAATGGGGTCTCAGAACCTGAGCATCTCAGGCGGACAGCTGACCCACCACTCCAGGAGGAGTACAAGTAAAATGAGCTTGTCTTAATCTCTCCTCTGACTGCTTGCCTTTTTCCTCTCCTTCACTGACACTTTCTCCTTCCATCCCCAAACGTGATCATTTATCAAATTCAGCCGTTGGTCTCGTTTGTTCTTGTACCGTTTTCCGTGTTAGTTGTCTCCTTAAGTTAAATGCAAGGTGCAACGCACAAATTGGCCGTGAGTTGGTTCCTCAGTTTAATTCCATGTTTACATCCGAATGCCCCAGTCACCTCAACCTAACTAATGTAAAACCAGTCCTATCATCTGAGCCCTCCTCAGATTTGCTTGGACTTGGATAAATGCATTTCAAGCTGGACCACAATTAACAAAAGGGGGATGAGGCATTACTGTTTGCGTATAAATATGTTTTCACTTTATTTACACAAGTGGAATTTGCATAACTTAAGCAGTAGAAATATATTTACAGGAACTTTTAAGGTGATCACTGTTTTGGAGCAGAATCCATTATTATACACATTCTCAAATATGTATGAGAGCAATAAAAACTGATATATACTACACAGCATATGAATTTGGGGGAGAACTATTTCACAGCAACTTGCCCTCTTGTAAATGAGCATCTAATTGATGTTCAGAATGACTGGAGGACATCTGCATTCAATTAATAGCAAGCCCTGATCTAATTCAGTAAAGAAACAGAGTTGGTCTAAATTATTTATCTTTATTAAGATATAATTCACCTACCATAAATTTCACCCCTTTAAAGTGAACAATAAAGTAATTTTTAAAAATTTACAAAGTTGTGCAAGTATCACTACTATCTAATTCTAAAACACTTTCATTACTCCCCCCAAAAAAACCATACACTCTAGAATATTCTCCTTATCCCCACCCCTTGGCAACCACTAATTTGCTTTCTGTCTCTGTGGATTTGCCTATTCTGGATATTTTATATAAATGGAATCATATAATATGTCCTTTTGTATTTGACTTATTTCATTTAGCATAATGTTTTCAGGGTTTGTCCATGTGTTAGCATGTGCCAGTTCTTCATTCCTTTTTATAGCCAAATAATAGTTTATTATATGGATACAAAACGTTTTGTTTATAGATTTATCAGTTGATGGACATTTGGTTTATTTCCACGTTTTGACTAATATGAATAATGCTGCTGTGAACGTTCTTGCACAAGTTTTTGTGTGGATGTATATTTTTAATTTCTTGGGTATATATCTAGTAGTAAAATTACTGGATCATAGAGTAACTCTGTGTTTAACTTTCTGCAGAACTCCAAAACTTTTTTCAAAGAAGCTGCACCATTTTACATTTCCAATAGCATGGTATGAGAATTCCAATTTCTCACATTCTCACGAACATTTATTGTCCGTCTTTGTTATTATAGCCATCCTACTGGGTATGAATGGTATCTCACTGTGGTTTTGATTTGTATTACCCTGAAGACTAAAAATATTGTGCATCTTTTCATGAACTTTTTGGCCATAGTATTTCTTCTTTGGGGAAATGTCTATATAAATCCTTTGTCCATTTCTTAACTGGGTTGTCTTTTCTGTTGAGTTGTAAGAGTTCTTTATATATTCTAGATACAAGTCCCTTATTAGATATATACTTTCTTCCATTCTGTGGATTGTCCTTTCGCTTTTTGATGGTGTCCTTTGGGACCCCATTTTTATCCTGAAAGGTGTTGGAGTTTGTCAAAAGCTTTCTCTGTGTCTATTGAGCTCATCATGTAGGAGTTTTTTCCTGCCTTCTATTAATATCATTAATTTTCAGAGGTTGATTAAACCTTGCATTTCTGGAATAAATCCCACTTGGTCATGGTCTATAATCCTTTTTATATGGTGCTAGATTTGGTTTGTAAGTATTTTGTTGAGGATTTTTCCATCTGTATTCATGAGGAATGTTGGTCTGTAGTTTCCTTTTCTTGTGATGTCTTTGTCTCATATTGGTATCAGGGTAATGCAGGCCCCCTAGAATGAATTGGGAAATGTTCCTCCTTCTTCTGTTTTTCACAAGAGTTGTGAACGATTGGTGTTAATATTTTTTTTTAATGTTTGGTAGGATTCATCAGTGAATCCATCTGGCCCTAAGCTTTTCTTCATGGAACATTAATGATTACTAATAAAATCTCTTTATTTTTGTTATAAGCCTATTAAAATTTTCTATTCTTAAATCAGTTATGATACTTTGTTCCTTTCTAGGAATTTGTTGGTTTAATCTAGGTTATCTAATTTTTTGGCATACATATATATATAAATATTCCCTTGTATTCCTTTTTATTTTCGTAAAGTCAGTAATAATGTCCCTTCTTTCATTCTTGATTTTAGTAATTTGAATTTCTCGGTCTAATTTATTTCTAATTCCCAAAGTTACATATTAAAAATATATTCTTGTAAAACTTCAAACATTGCAGATAAAACTAAAGCCTTGAATGCCACCCCTAGGCCAAACCCTCCACACAGGTAACACCATTATTAGTTTGGTGGAGCATTGGAGCATCATAGTTAATATGTAGCTGAATTACATAATTAGGCCAGTGTATTAGTTTTCTACTTCTACATAACAAATTACCATAAACTCAGCAACTCAAAACTACAGTAATTATCTATTATGTTCCAAGAATCAGAAATCCAGGCATGGATTAGCTGGATCTCAGCTCAGGGTCTCATCAGACCAAAATCAAGGCATTGGTTGGGGCTGTTCTCTCATCTGAGGTGCTGTGTCCTTTTCCAAGCTCAGTGATTGTTGGCCGAATTCAGTTCCTTGCAGTTGTAGAACTAAGATCCCTGCTTTCTTGCTGGCTGACAACCAAAAGCTTCTCTCAGCTCCTGAAGTCTACCAATCATTCTCTGCCACATAACCGTTTGCTCCTTTAAGATCAACAGGAGATCTTCTGCATCTTCTGACCTTTATGACTTCTGTCTTTGACTTCTAGACCCAGATTTAAAGAGGTGGAGTGATTAGGTCAGGCCTACACAGGATAAATCTCCATTTTGATGAACTCAAAGTGAACTGATTGGGGACCTTAATTTTGCCACATAATGTCATATTTATAAGTGCTGCTTTTATTCGAGGGGAAAGACATAGCTCATGTACATCATGGGATGGAAATCATTGGATCCATCTTAGAATTTGGCTGCCCACAGCCAGCCATAAGAACTGTCTCAGTAAGCAATAGAGGTAATTGATAGGGCCTTTTATAACGAACACATATTGTTCGAAGATGTGGGATGCTCATGGTTGGCCACTAATAATAAAATTAGTCCGAGACAGCCAGCTTTATTTGTGAAACAAGGAAATAAAGGCTTGATTCTCTTAAAGAATAATAATAAAATTAGTCATGGCAAAAATGCCTTTAAATAGGATGGTGACATAGACAGAAAAATCAAGTGGTGCTAAGCAAAAGAAAACTGTCTTTGACGTCTAAAGAATTCAACATGCTGTGTATTCTTTGCCGAGGTCTTCAGTACAGACTTTGCCCAACATCTGACAATTGCTTTTCCTTCTGACTTCTTTAGGTCAAGTTTGCGTCTCTCCCCATCTATTAATGTAAACTTTAATGCCCCACTAAACTTGCCTCGTTCTTTGCCTGTTGTGTAGGCTTGGGCATACTGAGGCAGCAATATTATTTTGTGAATTGCTTAACCAGATGATCACCCCAGTTCAGTGGGACTAACGACTAGTCAGTCTCCGGTCTTCTGGGCCAGAGCGTACGGCGTCGAGCTGCAGGTCACCATTGGGAGGCGCTCCTCCAGAGTTCGGCCTCGCGTTCTTAGCGTCTCTCGACCGCTCTCTCTTGCAGCCTATGTCTATGGTTTCCGTTGTGTTTTCTCCGGAATAGGCGGAGCTTCCGCTTCCGGTGGGGCCGTCCCTAGCGGCGGAGATGGCGGCGACAGCGGCGGAGGCCGCGGCCTCAGGCTCCGGAGAACCCCGGGAGGAGGCTGAAGCCCCCGGCCCCGCCTGGGACGAGTCCCAGCTGCGTAGTTATAGCTTCCCGACGCGGCCCATCCCGCGTCTGAGTCAGAGCGACCCGCGGGCGGAGGAGCTTATCGAGAATGAGGTAGGGGGCGGGGCCGTGTCCGAAGGGAGACGGGGGAAGGGACCAGGTTGAGAGGAGAGGTCAAAGGCTAGTGGTGATAGAAGTGAGGGGCTGGCCGGGCTGTGAGCTAGGGCCTAAGGGGAAATGGAGAAAGAAGCGAGAAGAAATGGGACTTGCGGGGTTCTGGTTAGCAGGAGAAATTACTTCAAAGTTGGAAAGTAGTTGAAATCTTGGGACCAGACCTCACCAGCTCCTTGGGACGATTTCATTTGTTTTTTCCACATGCTCTTTTCACTTAGGAGCCTGTGGTGCTGACGGACACAAATCTTGTGTATCCTGCCCTGAAGTGGGACCTTGATTATCTACAAGAGAATATTGGCAACGGAGACTTCTCTGTGTACAGTGCCAGCACCCACAAGTTCTTGTACTATGATGAGAAGAAGATGGCTAATTTCCAGAACTTTAAGCCGAGGTCCAACAGGGAAGAAATGAAATTTCATGAGTTTGTTGAGAAACTGCAGGATATACAGCAGCGAGGAGGTGAAGAGAGGTAAGTTCCTAGATCATGGTTTTGCATTGAATCAAGGGCATCCATTTTTCTTTCTTGTACTTATTTGGCGATGTGTTCTCTAGTTTGAGAGATGATGGAATGACTAGACTTGAACTGTGGCTAAGTTTGTTGTCTTCATAAAGTGAGAGCCACAGT